AGATCCTGATACTAGTAACCTACCAGCTGAGAATGCTCCTCCTCCTTCTTATACTTCATTTTCCAAAGCTTCAGACCGTCCCCCTCCTCCTATGCCCAAACAAGCTCCTGCTATGCCCCCACGCCCACAAGAGGCTGACATATTCTCGTTTCGTAACGAGCCACCACCTCCAACGTTTGATGACGTTTTTGATGTAAGTAATTTAAGTATGTTGTTTTATTGTTTGTTTTTTTTGACGTTTGGTGATAATAAAACTCCCCAAGCAGCAAAAGTAAACTTATTTTAATCTTAATTTAATGATTATTTTTATTTTTATTAGCCACAGACAGAGGCTATGTCTGAATGGGGTGCTCTTGAGTCAGAGCTGGATGCAATAGGAGCACCAACAACAACAGCAACAGTAAGTGATGAACAACAAGTCAACAACAGCAGTATAGTATAATATTGATGCATTAGTTTAAGCAAAAAATGCTCCAGAGATTTCTAAATAAATGCATGTACACGTACATGTAACTACTAGCTAAAAGAGCAAGCCAAGAACTAACTTTAAATTTCCTTCCATGCAAGTTCTAAACATAGCGTTTTATTACAAAAAACATGTAACCGTATATACATTTAATTGTTAATCTACAATTTCTTTCTCTCTCCCAGTCTGCTCCTGCTCCAGCTCCTACTGCTCAGTCAGAGTACATGATAATACCACCACCAGTACCAACAGGAGGAGCAGGTACCTGCCCCCAGCCGAGGGTACAACCCCCTTCCCCCTCTTACCCTCCCCCTCCAGCCAACCCTCCTCCCTCCTTTAGTGGGTTTGATGATTTATCTGATGTCTTCTCAGGCAGCAGAGCTCTTACTAGTCTGTACGAGAATCAGCCTCAAGCCCCTCCCACATTTGCCCCGCCCCCATAACCAAACTCGTTCGGTATGGTCGGCCAGCCCCCCTCCCCCTAATTCCCCACCCCTCCTGTACAAGAACCCTCCATTACGATGGATCTTATGGACGTCGCTATATGTAGCCCACAGCAAAACACAACCACTACTTACCTGATAGGTATGGAGATGAGAATGTCTGGTTTGGGAATGGACCTCCTACCGGGTACGGAACGGGGCAGTTTTAATTTGGAGGGGGCATGGGTGGATTTCCTGGCGGCCCTCAGCCCCCCCGTCTTGGATATTTTCAGTGTACTGGTTGACCCCCTACTAGACAGCAATTTCTCTCAGCCACTCCTACCCAATAACTCCTAGTAATGTCAGGACTAGCGTCATATTGTAAATCCGGCTTAAAACATCATACATGTACTTATACACTAATACATGTACATGTACACTTATATACATGTACAGTAACATACATTTGCTTAACTATAATGCATTATTGACAATTGACTTATTGTAATTATTATTATTATTGTTGTTCTTGTTGCTGCAGATTTTGTTGATAGGGTGTACTTTTGCTATTTTTTAATTTTAAAATTGCAAAAACAAAATTTGATGTCTTCACATCCGGTTTAGTTATTAAGTGTTTATACTTAGATATACATATGACGTCACAAAAGGGTGTTATATACTGGTCATACCCTCATATCATAGATATTAGAGTTGTTTCAAAAAAGGGATTATAATAACAAAAAATACATTTTATGGTTTTAAAAGTGCCATAACATTAACATGGTAAAATTATCTGTACAATAGAAAACAGAATTGTAAAGAGGAAGCATTAGGCTTCTTGATGCATAATGGAGTTCAAACCAGGTCACGTCTTAGTCTACGTTGATGCCAGCTGGAGTTGAATTAGTCAGGAGGGCTTGGCCCTCATAAAGGAGAAAGATCATGTCATCATGACCAATTCCAACACTCTCTTTCCTTTCACAGCACAGATTTGTGCAGACGTATCATGAGTCAAAATAAAATGGCGAATTTAAAATGGGACCACTTGACAGTATGCTCTTTAGTCCTTTACCCTATTCTCACGCACTTTAATAGAGCTCTAATTGGTTGACCTGACTAATCTATTGTTTCTCTTCCTGTATTCTTCCTCTTGTTTGTCTCCCTCCTACTGTATGTCTCTCACAGGTTCATCCTCCCTCTCCTCTCTCTCTCTCTTACAGTGTCAATGAAGAATATGATCCCTGATTGATTGCTTTGTGTCTTTTTGCTCATTTTGTGAGTTTAAGTCTTGTTGATATTTGGGAGTGATATGTTGATGAGTGTTTTGTGATTTGTTGAGAGTTTGATTGCCTGTTTTTGAATTATTCCACATGTAGTAATTGATCTTAGTCAAGTTCAGAAGTTCTATTTTTGGTCAAATTTTATTATAAGAAGGTACATTAAAAATGTGGGTAAGTGTTTATCACCTGTTTGCATTATGTGCATGTACATGTATGTATTAAATTTAAGGCTAAAATTATGTAAAAGCCAAAATATAATGTAAAGCTTTTGTAATAGGCGACAAGCACAATAGATCATGCATGAAGGATACTCCACTTATACTGTACAAGTACATGTATGTTATCTTTAGCCCCGACAACCTAATTGAATTTTGTACTCATGTACATGTACACATAAATGAACATAAGACCAATGACTTATTGTACATGTATATCTTATTTGTCTTTTTTCATGTACATTAAATTTCTTACTTTCTCTTTCCCTCCATACACAATCCCATCCTTTCAAGTGTTGTCCTACATGTACATGTACATGTATATGTACTTATATCAAAATAAGACTATTGTCAAAGCCTGAAATTATAGTCGGACATTTTCTGACAATTTCGCTTAATTAGGCAATCAAATTTTGTATTGTTCTGCCATTTTGCCTGAACAACATAATTTTAAAATAACGATCTAATTTATAATTGATTGTAAAAAGAACTTTATCATAATAAGTGAATAATCAATAATTAATCATGTCTGACTGGAGGTAAGCAAGCTAAGCATACAGCATGAGCTTTATGAGCTGACAATTACTACAATACAGTACATTGCATTTTAAACATTCATAAAAAGTGTAATTTTTATTGGAATCAGCTGTAGTCTTCTACACAACATAAGTTTGTGTAAGTGTACATGTATTTGGCCAAATTTTGTAAGAAATAGCTAGAAATTTTTCAAAGGCTATAATAGTCTTTGGTTGTTGGCCTGATATTTTAAAATTCAAAGATGATTGGAATCACTTCAAATTTCTATATATGCAACATAAAAATTTGTATCATTTTTTAGAAAAATTATAAAAATAGAAAATTTTCTCCTAGCCATTTTTAGCAAAATTTTTGAGCACCTTAACAATCCACTGACAAGAAACTGCATGAGCACTATGCTAAAATCATGTGGAAAACCCTGTACAATTGTTTCATAAAAATGGCAGATCAAATTAAACAATGTTCCTGCCTTATGGTTAACTGTTCTCTCTGAAATGAATATCCTGATTTTTAGCATTGTGAATGAATGTACATGTACATGTACTTAGAATAAATCAAGTTTAATACACTACACACATACATACATGTACACTGTACAATACTCATTAAGTCCTCTTTCCTTTATCCCTATTTCTCCCTTATGCCTCTTCTTTTCACTATACACAATAGCTTTCTTTCTCAAAATGTATTCGTACACATGTACGTTAGTTGTATGATTTCATTTGCTTGTACCCAAAGAGTCCTGTTACAAATAGATTGCTTTGCTTAACATTTAAACTTGAATGTGCATGAAGGTACTCAATCTATATTTATTCTCTTTCATTTTATTTCTCTTTATTCAGCCATTCTCTTTCTTCTCCCTTTCTCTCAGACTGGAAGCTGCTCTCAAACTGCAATCGTACCATGGGACACCAACACAACCTTTAAGTTATGAGTTCATTTTTATTATTGTTATTATTATTTTAAAGAAACATCAATGAAACATTTGAATTGATAATAATAATACTAGTATTGTTATTGTTGTTCTGTACCTCATTCCTCACCATTATCTATACATGTACATGATCAGTAGAACTTGAGCTTCATCACTATGATCAGAGACTATGTAGTACGTATACAGCCAAGATTATCATGCTGATACAGTAGTACTGCCCAAAATTAATGAATCAGGTCTGGATACAGTCCTGATAGCCTATCAGTGCTGTATTACTTAAGTAATCAGGCCTGACTAATTGTTTTTGGGCAGTACTATGTATCAGCATCATAATTCTTGTCTGTGTACCTCCACTCCTCACCCTCTCTCTATGTCATCACAAGAGCTGAGAGCTCATCAGTACAACTTTAGCTTGATCAAAATCAAAGACTGGTATGTACCTCCACTGATGATATAATGTAATTGTAATTGTAATCAGAGAACAATAGAAAATAATCATAACAATCTAATAATAATAATAATAATAATAATAATTTACATGAAACAATCTAATATAACAGTAATAATAACAATAATAATAATACTAAAATTGTTTAAATCTAAAATTTTGGCAATATAAAGTCACAATTTAGCTCAGCTTGGTCTTTCATTTGCTTGAATGCATCCATTTCTTTTATCTCACTTGAAGATGGCCTGTCAGAAATAGGCTTTAACATCAGCTCCACAAGTTTTGCCTAAAATAAAAATAATCACACATTATAAAAATTTGATTATCAGTAGTTTTTTATAGACAGGTTGTGTGCCGTATAGCTGGAAGTTTTGAAGGGAGTTAAATATGGTAAATTACTAAATTTTGGTGATTAGCGAATTTTAACTTGGCGAATTAGTGGCCATGTGCCATTGAGCATGTGTATAATGGCTCGAAATGGCGGCTTTTATTTTGGTGAATGGCTACCAAAATGCCAAACTTAATTCCCTCCAAAATTTCCTGCTATATATACAGAATTCTATTGTGCCGTTATTACTTCATTATAAAAATTTTCTTTAAATTCCTTTGGAAGTCTTCTATTACTCTTTATATCTCCTAAAACCTACATATAAAAATAATATGTGAACCTCCGGCCAATTCATATACCCCATACTTTATCCCTTTCCATTTCTGTGCTAAAAGGAAAGTAAAGCTCAAATAAAATTATTCCAAGCGAATAAACGTCAGCCCTTTCATTATACCGATGACCAGCTTTCTGCTCAGGGCTGACATAAAATGAAGTTCCGATCTCACTAGTATGACTACCCTGAACATCTATTATGAAATAAAAATGATGAAGCACAGCACTATATACATGCACCAGATTGGGGAGCACTGTGCTTAGTAGCTACATTTTGTTTCACTAAGCCAAAATCACCAACTTTAATGCTATCATCCATAGCAAATAGTATATTTGATGGCTATTAAATAAAGAAAATTGAAAGTAAATAAATTAATGTAAAACATTAAGGGGTGAGCCCCAGCAAGTATAAAGTATTACACATGTGCATGGTTGTTGCCAAATTAGATTTGACATCTGCTTTCCTTGCTGATTTTGGGCAACAAATCAGTCTTACTATTTTGCTGCTAATAAACTCAACACTTGCTGCAATTTAATAGTTGCTATTTTATTTCACTAGCTCAGCTGCATGAACACTAAACTAAATCCTGTGGGAAACCCTGGTCCCTGGGGTGTCATCTGAGTAAAGCTCATTCAGGATCGCCCCAGTAAAACTTATTAGCAATAGCTACATATACCTTTAAGTCACGGTGTATGTAATCCTTGTCATGCATGTATATCACAGCATCAAGAATCTAAAACAAAATTAAGGTACATCACTTTAGACTTTTATAATAAAGAACAGACCTGTACAAAAAAATTAAACACTTTGATTCGATAACGATTGTGAACATTTATACTCAGCCAATCTCTTAATGTCTTCCTTTGGCATAATTCCATTTGTATAAACAAGTATTTTTGATAGCCAGCTAAGGAGGAATCTATCATCTAATAATTAAAAACAAAAAAGTGAATTGAGCTTACAGGATGTTGTATCATCTGTTGCATCATCTGTCAGTGTTTCATCAGTTGATTTGGTATGTGTAGGAATGCCTTTCTCCTGTGACCTATTCTTTTGTAAACTATTATTAAACTCCTTAAAATATATCAAGTTTTAGATAAAAAACAAACCTGTCATCTCTAAACTCTATTGAAAAAGACTCAGTACCACTAGAATTATGGTTAGCACCAATAGGAGATAATGTCCGGACAGATTGCACTGATAATGAGTTACTTGGACCACTAAAAGTAAGTAATAAACATTACAAAATTATCTTTCCTTCTTACAAAGAAGTTGAAGGCTCATCCATTGCATCATCATCATCCCACCCAACAGGAGCACAATCAATGAAAGAATTGTAGTATCGAACAATTCCAGGGTGATACAATACAGAAAGTGCATGAACTTCTCTCTTCACCTTACCACTCCTACATGTATATGTACATCAATCAAGACAATAATAAATAGCTTTACTTACGTCGTGGGTATCATCTTAATGGCATACTTTCCTTTGTCCACTTTATGTAAGACATGATAAACAACTCCAAATCCTCCTTTACCAAGCATACCTAGCTTCTCAAAATCTTTCTCAACTCGACTAAAGGCACAGTGTATATCTATAATTAAGAATAAATAACATTATACCTTTGACGTAAAGGAGCTGGTGCAGGATCATTTTGTTGCATTCTCCTATTGATAAAATCATAATTATTATATTGCACTAGCTACATGTAATTAACTTTTCTAGTCTTTCGTCAAATTCCTTCTCAATCTTTGGCTCCAAGTGCGATATTGTACCACGTGCTTTGCATAGCTGGAGGTATTCATGCCAACATTTTACTTCACCATCTGCCTCACTGATATACTGGTCTTCAAAATCAAGTATTTCAAACGGTGTACCGACAGTCACTACAAGAGTTTTTGCTCTTGTGATAACCGTGTTAAACACAAAATGATTAAAGAGACTTTTAGTAAAGTATTCTTTAATTTTCCCATCCTTCAAAGGCTCCAGCAAGCACAAAAATATAGCTTCAAACTGATGACCTTATTTTAAAAGTTTGCAGCTATGCAACAGAAATAATTAAAATACCTTGAATCATAAAAGATGGCAAAAACTTGACTTTCTTTTCCTTCAAAATATTGTAGCAAGGATAACGATAGACCATTTGCTTTATATGATTTAACTAATTAGCATAAAATGACACTCAAAATCAGTCATAATAAATGCATTGTAAATGAGACATACTTGCTTCCTAGTAGAAGAAATGATACAAATTTGAGGCGGCTTCCTTTCCTTTTCTGTTTCTTTCAAATAAAGTAATGCCTGTTCCAAGACAATGCATGCCTCAACCGATTGTTGCTGTTCATTAGCAGCAACACTGTCATGTACAAGTCTAGAATCAGAGCATACAAATTTATAGCCAGATGGACCTTGGTGATGCCAAACTGGTTTATTTTCACTTGCGTGAAGCTTCCCATAAAACAATTCTGGCAATGAAAGGAGATCTTCATGAGCACGATAATTAATGGACAGTGTGGTCATGTAGGTAGCTGCAGTGGGGCCCATTCCCTTGTAGTGACCTGTTAAACGTGTTAAAAGGGAAACATCAAGACCATCATTTTGTGCCTCTTCTCCTAGTACAAGGGTTTTGGGGCCAACCTATTACAAAAGAAGTTAAAATAGTAAAGATAACATAAAACAACTCTACTTGTTTGTCATCTCCAGCTAAAACAATTTTAGCATCGTGTGTAGCAAGAGCTAATGGAGTTATTGCTTCTGGCTCACGTACCTGAGCTGCTTCATCAAGGAACACATAATTGAAATAACCATAGCCAGGAACATCAATTATGTCATAAAGACTCAAGGATCCATTATAAGATGCAATAATGATGACATTCTCAAGCTTTTCTGGCTCTAAATTCTCAAGTTCATCAAAAGTCATGTAGAAATGAGAGTTATGCGAATTTGGGTAAGGATTCCCTAAATATCGAGAAACATGAAAAACACGATACGGAAGTTTGCCCTCTTTATTTTCAATTCGAGTGAAATACTCCTCAATGAAAGAATTAACTGACTGAGGGTGATGAGCACAAATTAATATTCTTGTAAAAGGATCACCTTTCGAAATTCCATTGGTCATAACTTCGTAAGCAGCACGAGCAAGAATACGGGTCTTACCAGAACCAAAGGGACCATTAAGAAGAACTGGAGGAGGGCATGAATCTGCAACACACCTTGAAGAAACAGAAGTGATCATTTGAAGGGCTTGTGTTTGGACATCATCCAGTTTCATGAAGCTATATTTTGACCACTGAGGTTTAAACTTTTCCTCCAAACGACTGAAAGAATGCTTGTCAGATATAAGACAGTTGATAACATACTGCGGTATGACAGCAATGGCATGCTGAAGGTTGCTAAAATAAGAATGTTTTAATTCAAACTTCATTTTAACTTTAAAGTGGATTTTTCTGTGAGATGATCGGCCTTGAAGCATTCTCATGGTTCGACCCGGAAAACATAAATAAAGGCGCTGCTCGACATGAAAAAAATTATGCTGAGAAATTAATGCCTTGCAAACATAAAAATCATTTGACTTATAAATCTTGACGCCTTCGCTGGCTTGAGTGGCATACTCTATCTTGTCATAAGTAAATGCATCATCCTCAATGTACCCAAATTCTTTATATCGTTCTGGTTTTAATGCTAACTCCTTGACTTCTGGTGGAACATCATCAGTGACAAACAATTTGTAAACACCACTACACCTAAGTATAAAAGCAGATCACTTTATAATGTACATATGTGTATATGTGCATGTGTAGGTGCATATCAAATGTGCCAGTTGTGTTATAAATTCCATAATGCACAGGACAAAACAAATGAATACAACAAAGCTACAACAACTATAATATGCCCACATGCCATTGTAAACCAGTAAAAGCACCATTGATGCAGGATTTCCTTTCAGTGGTGGTGCAATTTTACTCATTAAGTGTGAATTACTAGGTATAGCATACATGACTATAATGTACACTCAA